TATAGACAGACAAAGACAAACAGACAGACAGACAGACAGACAGATATATATATATACAGACAAACAGACAGATATATAGACAGACAGATATATAGACAGACAGACAGATATATATAGACAGACAGATATATAGACAGACAGACAGACAGACAGATATAAAGACAGATATATAGACAGACAGACAGATATATAGACAGACAGACAAACAGACAGGTATATAGACATACAGACAGACAGACAACAGACAGATAAATAGACAGACATAGACTAACAGACAGACAGACAGACAGATACATATATATACAGACAGACAGACAGATAAATAGACATACATACAGACAGACAGACAGGATATAAAGACAGACAGACAGACAACAGACATATATATAGACAGACATAGATAGATAGATAGATAGATATATACAGATAGATAGATAGATAGACAGACAGACAGATATATACAGACAAACAAACAGACAAACAGACAGACATATACAGACAAACAGACAGACAGACAGACAGACAGACAGACAGACAGAACACAGACAGATATATAGACAGACAGACAGACAGATATATAGACAGACATAGACAGACAGACAGACATATATACAGACAAACAGACAGACAGCTATAAAGACAGACAGACAGATATATAGACATACAGACAGACAGACAGACAGACAGACAACAGACAGATATATAGACAGACAGACAGACAGATATATAGACAGACATAGACAGACAGACATATATACAGACAAACAGACAGACAGCTATAAAGACAGACAGACAGACAGATATATAGACATACAGGACAGATATATAGACAGACATACAGACAGACATATAGACAGACAGTTATATAGACAGACATAGACTAACAGACATATATAGACAGACAGTTATATAGACACAACAGACAGATATATAAACAGACAGACAGTTATATAGACAAACAGACAGATATATACAGACACAGACATATAAACAGACATAGACTAACAGACAGATATATATACAGACAGACAGTTTCATAGACAGACAGAGAGATATATAGCCATACAGACATATAGACAGACAGATATAAAGATGGACAGACAGTTTAGTAGACAGACAGACAGACAGGTATAGATATAGGCAGTGTTCTGACCGTCTGTGTTGTGTTTCTCTCTGGCCCGCTGATTTCCAGCATCTGCTGCCTGCTGGTAGAGTCTGACCGCCGTTTGGACAGAAGGAGATACACCGAAACCAGACTCATAACACTGAGCCAAACACAGCAGAGCATCAGCGTCCTGCACACACACACACACACACACACACACACACACACACACACACACACACACACACACACACACACACACACACACACACACACACACACACACATTAGAGAAGCTCTTCAGAAACATCTGCAGTATGAGTTCAGAGCAGGTGTTTTACCCCTCTGTCAGCCGCCAGCCGGAAATAATGCACACACTCCTGCTCATCACAGTCCACACGCTGAGACAGCAGAACCGCCAGAAACACCTGAGCCTGAAACCAGAGGTAGACTCAACAATCACTCAGGATAAAACACCAGAACTTGTAACTTGTAAACAAGTCTGCACAGAAATGGTGAAGAAGGGGCCGTTCACACACAAGACATTTTTCCTCTGCAGTGTTGCTGACAGCTGTACCTCAGTGAGCCCGGCGTCTGCAGCCGCGTAGAGCAGCTTCAGTGCAGCCTCAGTGTCCGTCTCTGACCTCTGCTGCCCTCTGCTGTTCAGGAGGAGTTTAGCACAGCGGTACTGCGCCTGACGGTGGCCAGCGGCTGCAGCGAGCTTGTAGTAATGAAGAGCCTGAGAGAGAACACAAACAGCTTGAGAAAATGACAAGGGAGACGAGTAGTAGCAGAATTCAAATGAATGCATCAATAGAAAACATCAGATCTGTATTTGCTTTAATAATCTGAATTAAAAG